GACTTTTCTCCCTCCCTAGTACGATGGCATACGACCATCATTGTGTATGTGAACCCGCAAATTATCGGAACGACAAGGACAAGATTATACGCGAACTATGCCTGTCCCAGAAGAGAGAAGAGACGACAATTATCTTCCCGCGCCAACAGAATGGGAAGAGGATAACCTCAGACGTATCTGCGACAAGATCCCCTGGGCAATATTCTTAGTCGCCGTGGCCGAGCTGGCCGAGCGTTTTACTTATCGATGTATCACGGCTCCTATGCGTAAGCTTTCTACCTGACAAATTTTTACCGAAAGCAATGACTGAACGTATGTAGAGAACTACATAGAAAATGCTTACAATGACCCATTACGGCCAGGAGCTTTGGGTAAGGTAAGTATTTGGGCTAGCTGCCGAACTGCAGCTTCGAAAGAGAACAAACCTAGGCACTGATACGGGCTCAATAGGGACAAGGAGTTGCGACTGGCATCAACTACTTCTTCACCGGCTGGTGTTATATGGCACCTATTCTGGGAGCTGTCATAGCAGACAGCTTGCTTGGCCGGTTTCGGACTATCTGTCTGGGGACTGGGTAATTGGATCCCCCTTGATAAGTCGGCGTACAGAGGACAATATATCTGACAACGACAACAGAGTGGCGACTTGTGGTGTCCTTATTCTTTTCGTCACTTCCTTCCCTGCCAGCCTTGAGCACGGTGCTGGTCTACCGGGCCTCATCGTTGCATTGGTTCTGATTGGTTTGGGGTCAGAGATTCTTGATGACTCGAGATTCTGATATTCCCGCTGACGTACTGTTATAGCTTCGGAGGCATCAAGAGCAATGTTGCTCCTCTGATCGCTGAGCAATACTCGAGGAAGCCTCTCCGGATCAAGAATCTGGCAGGTGGAGAAAAGGTCATTATAGACCCTGACCTCACGATCCAGACTATTTATGGTCGTTACTACTGGTCAGTGGCCATTGATTGGGCTTACGAAAAACAACACGCTGACCCCATCCAAGGGTTATCAATGTTGGCTCACTCTCTGTGATTCCGGCGTCTGTCAGTGCATCCATATGTATATATTGGCCCAATGTACTGACAGATATGCGGTTCAGTGGTTAGAGCTGAAAGTTTCATTCTGGGCTGCCTTCCTCCTACCGCTCTGCTTCTGGGTCTTACCAGTCGGCGCATTGGTCGTGGGCCGTGGAAGATATGGTAAGCGACAATTTATTGTTCACGTAGGGGTGGTACTTATCGATTATTTCTAGTTGTCCAAAAGCCAAGTGGCTCAATTGTAATCAAAGCAATGCGAGTCTTCTGGGTCGGTCTCAAGAGGGGCCGCAATCTCGATGCTGCAAAGCCGTCAGTCCTGGCACAAGCTCACCCAGAAACTACAGTTCCCTGGGATGATGCGTTTGTTGAGGAATTAAAACGAGCACTGGTCGCATGTTCTGTATTGTAAGTTATCTGAATTGACACAAGTCTTCTGATATGTGCGTACTGACAAGTTTCACGCTTGATCAGTTGTGTGTTGTAAGCCTCAACGGTCCATCAAAGACTTGGATTGCCGCAGACTAAACTGAATTGCAGTCCCATTTTCTGGGTTTGCTACGGACAGACCAACAGCAACCTGGTTAGCCAGGCAGCAACCATGAAAACCTATGGAATTCCGAATGACATGAGTATTAGAACCTGTGTTCCTTCAGTTTTTATTGAGATGTACTAATTGAGACGGGCTATAGTGGGATGCTTTAATCCAGTCATGGTTTTGATATTTCTTCCAACCATGTATGCGTACTTCGAGGCAGCCATATACAAGCTAAGAAATTCTCTAGGGAAAAGATCGTGTACCCAACCCTTCGACGATTTCGCCTTAGCTTTAAACCGATCAGCCGAATCACCGCAGGTTTTCTGGTGATGGCCTGCGCCATTGGATATTCTGCAGGGATTCAAGACTGTTAGTAGTATGCTGTCTCAACCCATTCTTCCATGGCTTACTAACCCGAGTCGCAGTGATCTACCGATCACCTCCATGCTACGACCATCCTCTCAGCGGATCTTGCAGCGACGGCGGAAGAACGCCAAATGATGTAAGAATCTTTTCCTTCAACCCCTCTTGCTAATCTCGGGGAGACACTAACAAAAACAAAGGTTAGCGTCTTCCTGCAAGTCCCCGTCTACACGATGACCGCCCTCTCCGAAGTCCTCGCCTACGTCGCTGGCATGGAATACGCATACACCAAGGCCCCCAAGTCCATGCGCAGCATCGTATCATCTATCTTCCTCCTCACCTGCACCGTCGGCTCGATGCTGGGCATTACACTCTCCCCCGTCTCGAAAGACCCCAAGGTGCTTGTAGAATACGCCTCGTTGAGCGGCGTCATGCTCGCTACAGCCGTCTTGTTTCTGCTCGCCTTCGGGAAGTACAACAGCATAGAGGAGAAGATGAACATGCTCAATAACGATGACGGGGACTCTACCTCTCTGAGTGAGTCGGTTCAGCAGACCCAGCCAGCCGAGAATTCAGCGAAAGGTTTGCTGAGTAGTGAAATTCGGTAGAAGGCCCTTTGAAGACTAGATGTGTCGTCTGGTCCATACGAGGATGTTCTATGGTTTTCAAGGTCTCTGCTGACTTGAAGCGCGCAACACAATCTAGAAAACCTGGGCTAAAATATGAAGAGAGTACGGGGCAAGCGTCTGTTGACGGGAATAGAAGTGAAGGCATCTCAACCTCTTCAATGTGCTCTATTTAGTTTTATTATTCACATTTCAGTTCAGATAGAGCAACCTCTATATGCAGGTCGCAAAACGAGAATTATATGGAAATATAGGGGCCAGAATTTGTTGGTGTACTGATCTACGACCTACCTATGACTCCCATTACGCCCCGTCAGAGCCCCAGGATTTTGCCGTAGTATTTCTCTGTTGTTTCCCACACCAGAAAACTTACCTCGTTCCATGGATTCCCTAATCTACTTGACCTATTACAATCCCTGGTTTTACTGTCTCTGCCATCTGGAAGTGTATGCGTATCACTAGGCCGTCACGTGGCAAATCCGCTACCGCAGTCTCTGCTGCTCCCAACACCCTCTTCGTTCTGAATAATCACATGATTATCAATATGTCATTTTCCATCAATGCTGGAGGTACCTACCCTTTCAGCATTAGAACCCCTTTAGTCCTGGATGAGTCGACACGCACTCTCTACAACCGCGCCATATCTAACCCATCCTCGCTAACGGATCAAGAACGCCGACTTATCACCTACCGCAGCCCACCAGACGAGGAAGACACACTTTGTCGAATTGCTTGCGGCTTGTATATGGGCGAGCTAGTTACCAAGGCCATCAACAGCAGCAACAACAATGATGATAAGAAGGATGACTTCCCCCTTAGCAGCCTCAGCCTGAGCTGTAAAGAAGCCAGTCTCTTAACGGCCGGCGTAGTCAAGGGACAATCGGGCCATATCCTGTCCGAGGTAGTGCGTCTTTCTCCTGAAGATCGCGAACTTAAGGCTCGAGCTATGCAAGCCGCGACGACGGACCATTTTCGGGCTGCTAGGGAGGTGGCACGGAGGGTTATGAAGCGATGGTCAGACGTGAAACGGGCGGCGGCCAACGCGCCGAGGGATGATGACATTAGGGATATTTGGTTTGCGATGAATGTTCCTTGGCAGGAGCATGTACTGCAATCCAGTTCAGCTTCGACGCATAATTCTACACCTGGCTCTGATTCTGGACCTGGTGGTCAGCGCCCTGGTAAAGCAGGTGGTCGCTTTGGTCTCGTGGTATTCTATCTGAAAGAAGAAGAGCAAAGAGGCCGCCTTCCGGAATATAAATCCCTGATCGGAACGGCTGTTTACCATGGACTACACTATTCACCGAGGCTGATTAAGGATGAGACAAGAGACCGGTTCACATTGCACTGGGTTGCTGTTCCAGATAGTAATAATAGCATGGACCCGAGTGCACTACGGAGCAGGTTCAGCACAATACTCTCAAATAACAACATCTCAGCTGGCTTTCGACGCCATGATTTTCTCTATGTAAGTAACGAGGCGTTCCGCTCGCGCGAAACAACACGGCCATATCTCGAGTTAGCCGAGCCTGAGGCCCAGTCCGAGCCAAAGACAGAGCCAGAGCCAGAGCCACGAACTGAGACTGGAACCGGGACCGGAGCTGCGACTGGAGCTCAGCCTGAGGCTTTGCAACCCCTAAAAGTCGACATCAAGCATATCGCCCCGACATTGTTTGCGCGATTGGTTCAGCACGATCTCCAGGGCGAGGCGAGACGAAAGCCCTATCGGCATACCTCGGAGCTGACCAGGTTGCATGCGGCCGTCAATGCGAGATATAGAGAGGAAAGAGATGGGATTTGGCCGCCACCTGCTCGATACCAGTAGTTGAAGCTACGCGAACCTGGATGATATTATCTATTGTGATTGGCTAATGGTCTTTTCATTGCAGTCCGAGAAAGAAGACGAGATTGTCAGTTTGAGTAGACATCATCCACAAGTCTTGCCTACAAGCTACCACTATTCTAGATGGGTAGGTATATAGAATGTTTAGATCCCAACATAAAGATAATAATCCGGTTACAACCTACTGTAGTCCTTTTTCAGCACCGGGTTCATATATCCAAGGTATTCAGGGCGATCCTGTTTCAGCCGCGATATCTGTGCAGCTGTCTCCAATTTGAACGTAGTAGGGGCGGAAGGATCTATCGTGCAGGCACCTCTCCTGGACAACCAGCCTGACGTGCCTAGAGTCGCGGACCAAGATGGCCTTATTAACCACCGAAGCGTCATCCGGGGTAGGCTCGTTGCAGTCTCTTCCACGCAGACGCCCTACGGAACCAGTCTCGTCGGCTGCACCGTCTGGCCGGTCACGGTGCCAAAGTTGCGATGGCAGGTGTTCGCGGTCCTACCATTGCCGACACTTAAGCGATCCAATAGCGTATCCCGCGACAGGAGTCAATTCTCGCCGATGCACATGCTGCGCACTCACGAAGATGCTGAAGGAGTGGCATACTGGGGACAGTGGTACTCTGAACCTTCGATTGCAGTATTGCCTGGCTGAGCGAATGAGTTGGACCCGAAGTGAGCGTCGTCGCGCGAGAAATCGATTTCGATTACGTAGAATTGGCACGTTCGTAGGCCAAAGACATGTTGGGGAAATTTTGTAGTTCAATCCGACTTGCACGGGTCGTTATATAAGGGGCTGTTGGGAGATCGGCCATCAGGAATGGCCAGTCATATCACGCCAATGACACCAACTATTTCCTGTCTTATCGCCAAGGAGAAAGTTTCCGTGCTCCAGGACAGCCTGACCAGGACGGAAATCCCGAAGCCAATCCGTTACCACTGAATTCTGTTACTATAGGTCCCTCGAATCCGATGTCGACGGACTTGAGTTTATCTGCCTTCTGTCAACCAACGGGAACGTCTTTTGCTAGATATCTTTGACCCTGCTACAGAAAGTTAATGATTGGCCAGAGATCCGAGTTTCCGTTATGCAGAAGTATACAGGTTGAAGCTGCAACAATATTGCCCTTCTTCCTCCAACTATTGTACATACTCGTAGTAAGGAGTCATATGTTCATCAAGTGTCTGTCGATAGAATACGGAATCCAATTGAGCAGTTATGTATTCGTCGAATCATATGTTCTGTAGTCTAAAATTGCTATGGGAGATTGGTAAGAGAAGGCCAGGACCTGTATTCTCATTTTATATACTTTGCTGAAGGCGAAGGTCACTACTTTTCCAACATTGACCACTAGCCTTCAAGAGGTAGTGACCTTGAAGATTGCGATATCATCGTCAGCCACATCAAAAGTTATGCTTTCGCCAGAACCCTCCTCTCCCGAATAGAGCTCCTTCCAGCTATATGAACCACCCTCTAGGCCAGGCACATCGACCAAGTTCACGGAGAATGTACCTCCACCACTGGCAGCAGCAAATGCAATGACGACGCCATCACTGAGGGGGCCCGCCCAGTACGGATAGATCTCACCCGCTACCGGCGCCGGGGCATTCGGAGGCTGGAAGATCCCCGCCGCGATACCAAGTTCATCCTGATTAATGCTAATAATGTCCTGCATCATTCATTAGTCCATATAGCTAGCTCCCTTAACATATCATCGGTACTGTACCTTATTCTTCAGGATATTGAGCGAGCTCTCCGATATGGTGTTGAGATCAGCACCAATCACAAGGGGCGATTTGGCAATAGCCCACAGCCCAAAGTGCAGTCGCTCTTGGGCCTCAGTGAGTACCCCATTGCCGACAAACTGGACAACTAAGAATTAACCCTTCCGTCTCCCACCACGGTGAGCAGTTACTGAACGGGGTGCTTACCAGCATGTCGAGGTCATTGAAACCACCTGGGCCAGAGTACTGAGGAATTTCGGAGGCCTTCGCCCCGATTCTGACGACCGACGCCCAATCCCCCCAATTATCGGCTTCAATGCGCCACGAGTGGCCATACTGAGCCCCCCAGGTCCACACCTCGTTCCGACCCCACTGGCAGATGTTCAGCAGGATCGGCTTCACACTGGTTACACTCTTGAAAGCGTCATGCATCGTGGCATACCAGGGCCTAGTGTCGACAGACGCTTCCCAGCATGTCTGGGGCGGTGGATCACTGACGCACGGAGTGTAACAGTTATCGTGCTTCCAGAAGTCAACCCCCCAGGAGGCCAATAATTCGGCATCCTGAGCCTCATGGCCTTGCGAACCTGGGTAGCCTGCGCAGGTCATTTCACCAGCACATCCATAAAGGCCAAATTTCAAGCCGAGACCATGGATCTGATCCGCCACGGCACGAATGCCATTGGGCCATTTGGCGGGGTCCGGCACCAGATTGCCTGAGGCATCTCGTTCTTTGGTCGACCAGCAATCGTCAATGTTAACATACGTATAGCCCAGATCTTTCAAGCCCAGTTCGATGAATTTGTTGGCTGCCCCCAACGCATACGTTTCCGACGCAGCATCGCACTGCGCAACATTCTGCCGAAAACGTTTAACTCCAAGGCACCCAGTGAATGGGACCAAAGAGACTTACCCAACTGCTCCACCCCATGTGCGGAGTGAGTCCGAGCGAGTCATTAAGTCGGCGTTGTAGAGCTACCGACAACGCTACGCCGGTGAGATGGCTGAGAGCCACCAAATTGGCGAGGTTCAGGAGATACATTCGGAGTATTGACGATCACGGTAGGTCATTAGATATGGGGATCAAATTGTCTTCTTGATTATGCTGGGACAGGGCTATCTATTTATCTTCCGGCTGCGTGGCGATTAATCAGGCTGATGTACATATGTATTCAGGATGAATGGCCTTCCCTGGCGCCAATCGACGCCCGAGGCAGTCAGTCTGGGCGTTTGACGGTATTGCCCGTCGTTTCAGCCATGCTTCAATCACGTCGGACTGAGGCGATCACATCCCCACTTGCGGGAAAAAGCAACACTATTCCAACTACAGTCCAGATCTGCAATTGCCATGGCTCTTATTCCGGTGGGGAGGCACCGTGATTTTCCCGAGGTCAAGCGGAACTCATCACATCCCTCCGGTGGGGTTATCCATGGTAAAACCCCTACTTGACCAGGCCGATCTCGAGAAGGCCTGTACGAGCCCATCAGAAGGAAGAGATAAATTCGGTGCCTACTGAAGAAAGTATTCCAGCTAAAGAGGAAAGAAAAGATAAGAAAACCAGCTCGAAGGAGGGAGCTCAACACACAACAACAAAACATCCAAAATCCGTAAACAGATACCTCAGGCACCAATCCCGCAGAATGAAGTTATTCCAGACTTAAGAAGTCACAGCCATCACACCAAGACCAAGATATTCTAGCGCTACATAAATTAGCCATACTTATGCTTCAGAATGAAGCATGCACCATGCCCAGGCCGATAAAGCGCGGCATTGTCAAACCTTCCGCTATGATCATAGTCGAGCGCAAATGCTTTGTCTCCAGAATCTTTAGGTCATAACCTCCGATTCACTCGCCTGAGTGGAATACAGGAGAGAAGCCATTGTTGTTATGCTCAAGGATGAAAAAAAAAAAAAAAAAAAAATGCCGTGCCCGGGGCGATAGATTGCGATATGGTCAAGTCTTCCGCTATGATTATAGTCGAAGGCAAATGCGCTTTCTCTAGGGTCTTGTAGGTCATACCCTCCTATCCCGTCAGAGCCTCTAGCATAGACAGGATCAAAGGTCATTCTGTTAAAGGGTTTCAACGTTCTACTTGTATTTTGGAAGATCTCCAATAAGGGGCGGGTTATATAATCTAACAAAAAGCTAGAATAAAATCTCTTGCAAATATATCTCCTACATAAACTTCCGAGACTAGGATAGCCTCGTATTTATACCCTTTAAGTAGTCCGCTTTTTAACTGGGTGCATACCTTGATGCTGTCGGTTTGCCCCAAGGATCGCAAGATTCATTGCCTAGATTTCTTTCTACTATGTCACTATAGTCCAATATGTATATTACGGACTAGATGACATAGCACCCAGCCTAAATCGCTTCGAGGGTGACAGATATTCCTTAGAACCACTGAAGCATCATACCCATTTCGGTGAAGGTGAAAACGAATACAAAATGAAAAGGGTTGTTAATATTCCAATCTATCGATCTCTGCTAAGAAGGCGTTAACTGTGATATAAAGATACTGCATCTGACGATAAATCATCAGGTCCTCACTCGCGGCGTTTCAACTGAAGTACTCAATAGTAGGACCTTTCCCATAAAGTAATAGGGAACTCGACACCGTCAGAGAATTTAGAGATCTGCCAGTCCATCAATTATTATTGATGTTACACAAGTGACGAGCTCACTCCCGCTGCTGGATCCTTAGGTCCAGACAAGAAAAAGAGTGACCCATAACCATCAATTCCCAGGCTGGCCTCTCATCGGCAGCAGGGCGTCGGCAACGTAGTATCTGGAAGGGAACCAGCATCTGCACTTGACTACGGGTTGCATCTTATGGTCGTTTACAGCATTTTACTCATGCCACTGGATCTACATCTCATCGCATTACCAGTGATTAAGAAAACTGTGAAATGGCTACACGACATGAATTGATGTTAGTTGTTTTTAGTTGGAAATCACCCATGGCAATAGCATGTCTATATACCGCGGTATTTATGCCACGAAGGATTTGATTCTTCTTGAAGTGAGACGCCGAAAGCTAATAGACGTTGCGTTGAAGTTTTAGTGGCGGTTCACCCCCCTTCCAACCCGCTCCACATGACACTCTGTTCCCATGGAAAGATCTATTCCAATTCGCTTTTCCTCGACTTCTTCTTAATCCGATTGGTTGTTCCACCATCTTATTGTAACTGTGTATGTTGAACTTGAAGCAGTGAATGTACACCCAGGTGGGAGGAAACCTCATCCTTTGGGTCAACATTTGTCAACCTTGCCTCTCTTCCCTGATCTTCGCATTCATTTTATAGTATAGAAGAAGTCGATCATTGTTTCCTTGGGTTGTCATGGAGAAGGCTGCTGATCATTCCTGAGAGTTAATTTCGACACCATCGCTGTTTTCGAGATGTTACACAAAACACACATCAACACATACCCATCAATGTTTCTCACTTGTTTTCTACGCCTCAATTCGTGAGCGTTGTACGAAAGTACATAAGTCTCGTCATATATGAATTTCGTCCCTTGGTCGAGTGTCAATTGTGGGGTACCTGCGTTGGGCGGAAAGCAATGCAGCAGCTAGCCACAATATCAGTGTCAGACATGTTGCATCTATCGCCATCGATGCAAGGAAAGAAAATGGCCCAGTCCGTGGTTATACTCTGCATCTACATCATGACCCATCCAGTCACTTAGCTGATGTCGACATTGTGGCCTTGATTCTCACTGTCAACGTGCAATCTACACGGGATGCTCGGAGGATGAGACTGCTGTCTAGAACAAATGCTGCCATAAGTGTGACGTGACCACCAACCTGGCGCCGTTTTCGATAGTCAATATCATCTATAAAAACCTCTTCCTCTCCGGGCTTGTTCTGCAATCCAGACTGAGACATTATAGTTCATCGTCAACTTCATTCCCCGTGAAATTTACACTTCTCTTTATCCAAGAAATCTTCCATTGATTTACCCATCATGACTCCTTCTAAAAACATGAACCTGGAGAAACCCATCACCTACACGCCTAAACATGCCATTGTTCGGGACCTCATTGATTTTATCAATCGGCGGACCCCCATTTATAATACTAAAGAAACAAGAGAGGGGCCTCGTCCCCTCAAGGTGGATAGATTATTCTTATTCAACTGGGCCATTGCAGACGCAGTTGCTGGGGGCGAACAGGAAATGAAGGCTGAGGGCATCTCGGATCTAGATGGCTATCTCAAATTCGTCGACCATCTCGTTGAGTGGACTCCCACAGTCAGCTCCACGGGAGACGAAGTCCTGAGAAAGCTCCTTGTGTTCTACTGGCCATTCAACCAGCAGGCACTCAGCGACCTTCAAACTCCAATCGCGCCTCAATTCACCAATACCGATTTGAGATGGCTTTCCTACTGGCTTGTTGCGTTTGCGCGCCGATTTGGCGAGTACATGGCCACACCTGAGTCGGTTGGAAATATTTGGAGTTTCTACACCAATCAGAAATATGGGCAAGGCCCTGGTGATGCCGACAAAGGCACCAAGTACGACAAGGGAGATCGCTACAAGCAGTGGGAAATCCCTGAAGGAGGTTGGAAATCCTTCAATGAGTGGTTTTCACGAGAATGGGCCGATATCGACTACTCCCGCCCACTCGATGGAAAGGGCGATGATACAGTCATTGTCCAGGGCGCAGATTCAGTGTTTAACGGCCACTGGAACATTGAGAATGGATCTGTCCATATCGATCCGGCTGATGTGAAATCCGCCGAGGTGACTGTTGATATCAAGGGTATTACATGGCCTATCAGAGACTTAGTCCGATCTATCAGCGAAGATACGCCGTATGATAACGGTAGCTTCACGCACGCTTTCCTCGGCCCAACCGATTACCACCGTCAGCATGCCCCTGTGGAAGGAAAAGTCGTCGAGGCCAAGAATATCCAAGAACAAGTTTATCTTCAAGTCGCCCAATCTCAAACCAAGGAAGGCAAAACGACCATCTACCCCGAGCGAGGTGTTGTCATCAGTCCCCAGGAGCAACAGCGACGATCGGTCAACACTTCAAACCTTCAGAAGAAAACCAATTCTGATAGTCAAATGAATCTTCTCGCGCGATATAGGGAGATCAATAGCCTCGAAAAAAATCAATCTGAGCAGCCTGTTGCTAATGGTCCGAAACCTGACGCCGGTATCACTGCACCCGATCACGCTGGTTATCAATGGTGCCAGACTCGTGGCCTCGTTGTAATCGACACCAGCTACGATAGCAAAGGCAACAAAAAATCCACTGACAATGGCTTGGTTGCGGTTTTGCCCATTGGAATGGCCCAGGTCTCCTCGGTCGTTCTCACTGTGGGAAAAGGAGATTTCTTGGAGAAGGGACAAAACATTTCCTACTTCCAGTTCGGCGGCTCTGATATCGTGACGGTCTTCCAGAAACGACCTACCTACCGGAGTGATCTCCAAGCTGGCAAGACCAAGTTGCACATCCGAGAAAAGGTCGCTGAGTGGGATTAATGAGCGGAATGTAAAGATAATATGGGATTGGTTCTCTGCTTGAAGCAACCTCTGAAGCTACTTGACATGGTCATGCTTTGTAGGTAGACTATCATCCTACGAAAACTATCATCCGGCGAAATTACCATTTAACCCATTGCCCTGAGTGCAATGATTCATTCTTTAGTAATGAAATGCAGCTCATCTTCTTGCTGACTGTTCTCGATAAAATGGGCCGAAGCCTTGTTATCTTATCTATAGCCATGTATAAAAAGAGATTGTTGAAGAAGCAAGTCTCGTGTCTTATAGACCCAAACGGGTGCCATTGATAGCTTCGTCTTTGCCCCACTGAACAAGCGTTCTCTGAAACTCGCGGTTCGCCAACCAGCTAGACTTAAACGGATCACTTGCGAAATCAATATTGCCGGAAATTCTTGGACAGGAGAGCCACGAACGACGTCACACAAGGGGAAGTGGTGAAACCCATCGCCAAAGAACCAGCGCTGAAAGCCATCGAATCGCGATACCAGCTGAGGTATGTTTCTGTGTGTACGCTTTGTATAGTATGTGGCTGACAGCAGGCAGGTAGGTAGTAGTCGGGGATTGAGTCACACCCCAATAGGCGTCTGTGCATTGAATCCCCACGGCGGCGAGCATGGTACGTTCGGCAGGAAAGGGATCGATCAGATTTGTACCATGATGGATGCAGCTCGCCAGCTTGGGATCGATGTCCGCGGTCCGTTCCCCTACGATACCATAATCGTTAAGCGACAGCATTTTGATGGCATTGTTCGGTCGATCCCTCAAACTGCTGGTGTAGATATGTTGAGGGAACCATGTTGCTAGAGGCAAAACACTGCTAGCCACTGCTACGTAAGGCTACAGATTAGGCAGATTTCCATTGAGATTGTGTTGGTATCCACTTTCCAATTTCCCCTGGCCCTTGACCATGGATGATGATATTACCGTCTTGTCGGTGAAGGCTACGACAGGCTCTCCACATCTCTGGCTATTAGGGAAGCCCGTTATGCCAACACACTTGACAGTTGTGGCCGCCTTGTTTTCTCGATGATATCATCTTCAGTTCTGATGCTGCTGGAGGCCATGGCTGCCCTCAAACCAATGAGCTGATCGGCAGAATTTTGTATATAGATTTGGGATCTGATCTCTCCATGCGACGTGACGCCACTATTCCCAATAACTGACATCAACATGTTGCCTTCCCCAACAACATGTCCGTGTCCTGAGACATCGTGCAATTTGCCCCACTCCGCTGATGAGCTGGCATACAGCTATGGGGCGATGAACTCCCGTTCGCGACGATCTGCAAGCACAGGTGGGGGTTTGCAGCCAGTTCCGAGTGGGCTTGGCTGGTGTGGATCTACAAGCTGAAAGAGACTTTCACGGTGGGCTGCCAATTCGTCATGAAGTACAGTAGATCTGAAGATATCCGAGGACACGTAGTGACAGCTTCCTGCCTGGGTCATCCAAGGACTCAGCCAAAGGTATAAATATGTCGTCCCGACTCAAGGTGATTGATCCCCTCATATCTCAGCACCATACTCTCTGATCATATCCACTCTACTCGAAACCAAACCTCCTGAGCAGCTGTCCACAATGGTCTATGAATTCGCCGGCGTGAACCGTCGAGCCGACGGAACCTACTACTATGAGGACGACTGTATTCCTCGCGTCGAGATTCCGATGGCCGAACAATCGGAGGGGTCGTACCGCATGGACAAAAAAACCATCGACGAGTGGTTTGGCTTCACCAAGAACATGCCCAAGCTGCCCAAGTACATGATCTTTAACGACCTCCGCAATGGAACGCCCCACCACGAGTTAAGAGGCACAACCCAGACTACCTGGCAGTATGTCTCGGGGGGGTTTGGTGTCTACGAGCCCATCGAATGGGTTCCCACCGTTGACCTGATTCGATCCATCCCGAAGAGTGCGCTATCCGGGACATTCAAGAAGGAAACAGTCAAGAGGGAGAAAACCAGACTCTACGGCAAAATTGGTGCGCTCTTTACCGCCTCTGGCGGCGCCACGTATGCGGGAATGAAGGTCGAAGCCCGTGTGGAGGTCACGGGGGAGGCCGAGTCCGAACTAGATTCGAAGACAACAGAGACCCTTGTTCGAGAGGGCCGCGTAGGAGACCGACCAGTGCTGGAGATCATGCTGGGAATTAACATCCGCGTCCGGCAGGTGTTCTACTGGCGATTTAACGATGAGTATGACCTGTGGTACCGGTACTGGATCCGCCCGACCTGGGGGCCGAAGCTAGAGTTCGACTACGAGACGAGTTGGCATAGCGGGCCCGGCTGGGAAGCCATTCATGTTCCCGACAGCCAGCTGCGGAGGGTCGACAAACTGATTTATCATCACGGGATCTACTATCAGCTGTTGCCCGTGCTGAAAAACGGCCAGATTGAGGGTCTGCACGTCGCCATCTCCCAACCCGGCTGGCAAGACTGGTATGTGTTCACCAACGGCACCGGTATCCCTGAGGTTCTGGGTGCAGAGACCAAGGCTTGGGAGTCCATCAATCCAGTGGCAACTTTGATAGCCGAAGGGGCCGAGGGCCCGATTCCTCCGCCAACGAATACTGAGCCTCCTACCGCACCCAGCAGTTGATTATTTTACCGCCTGTGATATATGTTGATGATTCACGCCTCGACTGTATCCGAAATGATCTTATAGTGGCATACAATTCGAGCATATGTTTGTAAGCAAAGTAACCGAAAACACTTAAGCACTACGCGATAGCCGAGATAGTCGGGATAGGTCCGTACCGGCTGCCATCCTCTGTTGAACATAATGACTTGGGGAGGGGGGTGGTAAAAGATCCAGTGTGGAATATGGACATGGTTGAGCCAGGCTAGTGTAGTTAGTCACCAAATCACTAACGACTAGGAATAGCAGCCTCCGCCGCCCCGGCAGCTACACCCCACCACCGCGGTGCAGTACTAGATGGGATCCAATTCTACAGATCGAGGTTTCTATCTCAGGACAGCCTTCTTGGAGCGAGCGAAGATTGATTTGGTTGTTATTCTCATCTTATGACATGCTAGAGAACTTGCGGACTGGAACCCCTCCCCCATCCGATTTTTGGGAACTGCTGGCCACCTCTCTCCACAGGTCCATGATACGGATTGTTAAAGGGAGGGCCTCTCTCTGCATTCGTCACCGTCGCTCTGATGTCCTCACCGATCTCGTGTTTCGGATCCGCTATGCTATAATAATGACCGGAAGATCATGCAACACTCCCTGCCTGCTTGTGTGTGACCGATGACGCTAAATTCCTGGATCACTGTTCAAGATTCGTTGGGATACACTGGGGCGCGGCTGTGACTCGTACCAAGAATCGATGCGGGCTAAGTCACTGGCACT